GGAGCACTAGAAGCTCCCCGGCTTCCCTGTCCCATGGCCTGCCTAGCCTGTCTAGCTTGGCGCCGCTGTTCTCTCTTTGCCTTGTTCTCGAGGTACCATTCTAGTACCTCACTCATACGACCATAATGAGGACCGTCATCCTCATCTTCTTCATCAAAGTCCTCCCCGTTGTACGGGGTCTCCTCTTGCTCCGTACTTGGAGCATATGTGAAATCGTCCGGTTCGGTGGCCTAAGACGGGTGCACAGAACCGACACGCGTGCTACTTTCCGTCGGCGTTGTAGAACGCCCACGACCCCTGCCTCGGCCTCCTCCTCAGCCTTGGCCCCGGCCTCTACCCCTAGAGGTCCGTGATTCAGCCCGTGTATCGTGCCCGATGGCCCCCAGTGCACGACCCGTCGGGTTCCTCCTAGTAATCCTGCATCCACCCTCCATTTCTGAAAGAAATAAGGAATGAGTCATTAAACTCGTTTCAATGTCAATTGATGGATTAGTACAAAAGGCACCACTTGCTCCAACATTATGGCCAACAAACTGTTAAGTGTACCGTCTTAACAATAAGAGGTCAATAACTTGGTTTCCAACGGTTCCTTAGGTACAAAAACTTCCTGCTCATGGTTTTGTTCAAAACTTTTCGATGGTAAGATATTGAGAGGTTAATTATATGGTTTAGAAATCGATGGCTCTGATACCACTTAATTGTCACGCCCCGGACCGCATCCGGTCCACGTAGACAACCGCCGTACAACCCGATAAGAATAACAACAGTTCATCCCTATTGAATTGTACAAGGCGTTCGATTGATTCTATTGCCAAACCGATTAGTAAACACATACAATCAACATCGATATCATAATCAAACAAATGCGGAAAGAATAATAAGTTTGATACTTAGCCACACGTGGCAAACACGGGCACGCAGGCCCCCAATTGTTTTAAAGAAAACAATGTTCGAAAATCCATGAGCAGTTTATAAATTTGAAATAAGAATGGAAGCACGAACCACGTCTTCCTTCTTGATCAATCACCCTAGGCAAAGGTGCAGGTAGTAGAACTCTAGCCTTAACCTGAAAAATGTGAGCCCCCCCGAAGGGGTCAGTACTCCATAGAAGTACTAGTGACAAGCAGGCTATATGAAGAATAACTAATGTTTGAGACACGAGACCCAAAGATAGGGTGATACATATGTGTGTGTGTGTGTGTGTGTATATATATATATATATATATATATATATATATATATATATATAACTCATCCACCCGATGATACTTACTGTATACATATTTGTAAAATACTCAACCCGTAGGTCATTTCATTTAAAGAGTCTTTTAGAGATAAAGTTCTTAACTGACTTTTCTCACTCCTTCCCCGAATGCCTAGCACACAAGCTACATTATGCATTCATAATATCCTACCGAGTTTTGGGAGCATTTAGCATCCCGGGGATACTCAACACCAACCGAGTTTCAGGATCATTTACCGTCCCGGGGATACTCAACCCCAACCGTTTTTCAGGATCATTTACAGTCTCGGGGATACTCAAACCCAACCGAGTTTTAGGATCATTTACAGTCCCGGGGATGCTCAACCCCAACCGAGTTTCAGGATCATTTACAGTCCCGGGGATGCTCAACCCCAACCGAGTTTCAGGATCATTTACAGTCCCGAGGATGCTCAACCCCAACCGAGTTTCAGGATCATTTACAGTCTCGAGGATACTCAACCCCAAACTTATTCCTTACCAAACCCTAACCTGAATATGGCTAAGCTTTCATTCCTTTAACTATGGACAATACCTAGCCCTATAGTCATATAACCATCCTTAGGAATCAACGTGGGCGGGTCCCACCTGAACGGCCCACATTAACCTACTCAAAACTGCCCGTTTTGAGCATAACCCAATACTCGATCGAGTACCCACCTATACTCGGTCGAGTACAGGAGACAGTAGCCCCGTAAGGCCAATTTTTGGTGTATACTCGATCGAGTACCTACCCATACTCGATCGGGTGTAGAAGACAGTAGCCCCTGGGGCAAATTTTCAGCAAATACCCGGTCGGGTATACCAGTTGACTTGGCGGTCAACGCCCGTTCGACCGCCCAAACGGAGTCCGATTAACGTGAAATTTTACATGTAAGTACTCTTTGACGTCCTTAATCCAAAAATACCTGTTTGGGTCCTCGGAACATCATACATATCAATTTATGGTAATTTCACCAAGCAAACCTATAAATCATGCTTTCTAACTATGTTATGTTATTTAACATAGCACAACACATACTTTAATATCATTAATCAATCCGTAAAACATATTCTTGATTAATTTAGGTAATCTCATGCCTCACGCAAAAGTTATAAAACATAAAGCCGTCTTCTCACCTTAAATGAAGCTTATGAAGTTCTAGCCTCCTTTAATGAGCTCCGGCGAAACTCCGGCGAACTTCAACGAACTCCGACGACAACTCCGGCGACCCTTTCAACTACGTGAAAGTTCCTTGAATACCTTATACAAGTTACTAACAAGGTTTTATCATCATAAATCCCATATTGATACAAATAACCTCCAAAAGGTTATTTTTCCGGCGAACCGGTCACTTTGGCTTCTAAGTCCGTTCTTGGGCCTAGAACTACCTTCCAACCCCTCATTCTACACTTCCAACTTGTAGAACAATCCTAGGGTGTGAAATATGATTGTATAATCATATAAAATGATTGAAGAACAAGAAATGGGATTAATGGAGTCATTACCTTGTAAATCTCAAGTTTTCCTTTCTAACTTCCCCTTTTCTCTTCTCTTTTCCCTTCCTCCTTCCTCCCCTTGCTTTGTGCGAAAATGGTGGATGAAAATGGAGTTTTAGCAGAGCTTCTCTCCCTTTGATTGAGGTCAGGGTCGAGTGGATGAGGTGTGGGGGGTGAAGGTGGTTTCTTCTTTTGGCTTATTCATAATAATATGAGAGGAGGGTCCCTTTCCCTTCTCTTCTTGTCTCTCAATTACTTCCAGCCTCAATCAGCAGCATTAGGTGCGGCTCCCTTGGTATCCTCATGCCTAAAAACGTGGATTGGCCCCCACTTATATGGGAGGTCAACCCTTTGTGTCCCTGAGTGTACAATCGGTCCCGAAAGTTGTATTTTTCCGGACTGTTTTAATTTTATTTTATCTTATCGTGTCAAATAAAATATCGCACATGCTCTCCATCATTATTAGACTTTATAATGAATATATATTCTTCAACTTTAATTTAGAAGTCTCCGAAATTCCTTTTCGGGCCGTTATCGGATAAGTTGCCGACACTGATAATTTGGCCCCGTTTGACCAACAGGTCGACCCTATGCCATTGCCATGGCCCAATTAGGATATCCACCACCATATACATATTATCTAGGCCAAGATTAATATAATATGTGGTTCGGATAAGATCGGGCGGCCCCCACTTCCGGTGTGGGCCCCACGTAAATTTTACTATTCACGTAAAAGAAATGATAAAAATTTGCAACCACGTAAAATGTGTTTATTCATTTCTCAGGGTTCAATACATAATTCGATAAAGTGCAATTTCTTGGGGGCGGTGTTACAAATTATCCTTAACTTTCACGTGGAATTTTAATTTTTTATCTCTATATATTGATAATCTTTACATAACAAAAATAACAGAGTGACTACAAATATTGACTAGAAATTCCCGCTTAAATTAAAGATAAGTTCTACTTCATATATGGTCATTATTAAAAGTATTTTTTTAAATAAAAGATAATACTAATAATAATCCACATTTGGTAAAAAGCCTTTTTTCTCAGGTGTTATATTTGTTTTTATATGCATGCAATAATGATACAAAGTACAAAAGTGTTACGTAGTACTATTTCTCTCCAATATTACTGCCTCGATCATAGGCTCATAATGGGGCCTAAAATAATGTAATACTCCGTATTAGCTCTTACTACCTCCGTCTTACTATAGTTGAGACATGAGAAAGTGTCGCGGTTATTAAGAGAAGTGAGTTTATGCGGTTGATATTGAAAAGGAAATGTTAGAAAAAAAAAATACTAATAATTATATTATCCTCAATTTCTTCACCATATACATAGAGTTTATTATTACACCTTATTATTTATTTTAATTTTTACTTCCAATTTTTCATACAAACCGAGTTTTATTTTCCTTCAGTTATCTTATTCTACATTTGTTCTTAAATAAGTGAAACATGCTGAATTTGCACTATTCACATGTTCTACTTTGACAATATTTTATTTATTAATATATTAATAATTTTTGTAAAAAAAATTATTAAATGCATCTCATTGTAAATTTTCAAAAACTGATTTTTTAAATTTTTTTACCAATAGAGAATTATATATATTAATGGTCAAAGTTGTGCACCGATAAATGTGAAAAGTTGTCCGTTTGCATTTATTTAAGAACGAAAAGAAGTATAATCAAAACTACAACACATAAATTATTCTTTTACCCCAAGGGTGGTCGGGGTTGGGGGGTTGGGGAGCCTAGAGTAAACCGGGATCAAGTGAGCTGGACCACTTCCTCAAACTCTATTCTCTTTTATTTGGCAAAAATATACATTACGTAGAATTTGATAAAATAAATTTTTTAAATACGTTGTTATTCTATTCCAGACACACCCGTGCATCGCACGGGTACTTCGTCTAGTTATCGAAGTCACATATACTACATCTGTTCTTAAATAAATGCAACATTTTGAATTTTACACTATTCACATGTTCTACTTTGACTACGTTTTATTTATTAATGTAATAATATTATTTTATGAAAAAAATATTGTTAAACTTGTCTCATTGTAAATTTTCATAATCTAATTTTTTATTTTTTTTACTAATACAAAATCATTTATATTAATGGTCAAAGTTGTATCTCGGCAAGTGTGAAATGTTGACCGTTGCATTTATTTAAGAACGAAAGTATTTAAATGGGAACGGGATTGATTTATTTAAGTGTGGTGTTGATATTCCGGTCAGGTCTAATATGGAATCCAAAAATCCAAATAAAAACATTCCAAGCCTCCCCTGACACCCGGTCCGATCCTCGGTTTACCCGTTTGTCCACCCCTCAGGCCCTAACCTGAACTGAGTCGCATCAATCAATAACTGGACGGAACTTTCCCTCACTGTCTTCCTCGCTCAGTCGATGTGAGCAGCGCTGGCTTGTTTGTTGCTTCTTCAACCTCTTGCCGAAGAGCTCCACGTCGCAGGTCATTACTTGCTACGATACTCTTTCTATCTATTTAGACTATTTATATCACTATATCGAATACGCTAAGAAAATGTCATGCTTTCGTATCTGCAATTTCCGCACCCAGCATATGCTGTTAATAAGTGATATGCCAATTTTGTGCATCGTCTATGCACCCTTCTATATGTGACTCGTATGCCGGTATGCCTAGCTACTCTGAAAGAGCCGCAGGTTTGGTTGCACTTCGGAAAATCTCAATAGTTACTTATTTATTCTGTTTTCATGTTTTGAATTCCATGTTCTTTCTAGCATTGCAATTGAATAGTAGCATATTCTGAGTCTTGAGTTCATATGTTCATGGGAAATTTTGCCATGTTTTATTAGTCATTACTTTTTGATAGAGATAATACTTGGTCATTATTAGGTCTTACCTCTATCAATACTGATTTGGATCACAAGGGGAAGGTCTTGGTAAAGATATTATTTTTTGACCAATTATATTGTTCATAAAATTTAATAGTTAATAGTCCGTCCTCAGCAGTGGAGACAGAGGGGCTGGAAGGGGCCTGGCCCCCAAGAAAAAATCTAATGTACATATACATGTATAAATATTTATACAGTAAAAAATATGCCAACTTTCTAAGCTTTGGCCCCCGTAGCCTAAATTTTTTAAACTCCGCCCCCCTAACTGTACACCTCTGGCTCCGCCACTGACCGTGCTGCTGTTCTAATTGAACAAAGTGTGTACCCCACACCCGGCTCCATCCATCATAATGGAGGAGGATGGATGGAGCCTGTACATACATGATCCAAAGGGAGTTCCAGTAATCCCAGTAGGGGTCGAACCCATTATGTACCAAGCAGGTGACTTTTATTGAACCATAAAAGGACCTAAAATGGGAAATGAGTAAAATAAATTGCTACAAGCTCATACTCCCTCTGTCCCCCTAACTTTGTCCTGTTTTACCTTTGTCGTCCGTCCCATCATGTTTGTCCCATACCATATTTGGAAATATTTGGGTGGTTACAATTCATTTTTACTTTATTCTCACTTTATCAATTCAATACCAACCACACAATTCCACTTTTTTTTTTTTTAAAAGTTGTGCCACACTCCTTTGTCCCAAACATAGTGGGACGGAGGTAGTAATGTTTAATCCAGTTATTAAGTTCTTATGGGTAATGGATTTGCTCAAGGCAAACTACCATTCAAGATCTTAGTCCACTTCTCCATTGTTGTGAACAAGAGCCAGCAAACACTTTAAAAACCTAAATTTTGCAGTGATTTAATGGCATCACCGTCTTGGTTTTCTCAGGAAATGCAACCTTCGACTCAACAGACCCCTATAATTTCATCTACTGCCGGACTGTCTTCAGATAACTTGGCTATGCCTGCTGCCCCTCATTCCAGTGCAAACACTAATTCAAATAATGGAACAAGTACGTCAATAGATTCATCTGGAGACAATGCTCGGCAAAAAGCTACTGGTCCACTAGGATATGGCGTCACTCGACCTCCGATATCATACGTAATTGATGTTTCTGTTTTTGGAAGCTTTTTGCAGTTGTCCTTAATCTTGGATGTTCTAAATCAGCAACATTTAAATAATATTAAACCTATAAGTGTGTTTTTTGGTGGGTGTAGGCCATGATTTCAGGCCCACAGATTTCTGCGGCACCACTCCAACCACCTGTCCCCGGATGTTCTTTGTTTTCATATAACATATCTCATCCAACAACGGGATTTTCTGGTGGTTCACAATTTTCAACCAGCATGGTGAGGCTCCTTTACTGCTGATATAGAACTGTTCAATTGTGTGAAGCTTTTGTTTGAGAAGGATGTTTCAATTTATTTAGTAACTAAATGCCGTATTTTGCAAGTAGATTTGGTAGTTTCTTCTATATATATTGCTATAAGCTGTCTAGAACTGGAGACTATGAAAGACAATGCTTTAGACTTTAGTGCATAGTAGCCCAGTAGGTTTTATTCAATGACCTATATTGCCTAAGAGCCAGGTCTTTCCATCTGAAAACTGCATACTGTGACAGTGTGATGTACATACGAATAGTTACTTTGTGATAGATCTCTTAACATGCTCAATAATTAATGTGTTCATGTACTCACTTTGTTCCACATTACTTGTTCCAATTAGATTTTCACACAATTTAAGAAAGTATTTATCACCGGATCCTTGGATTGGACAGTGCAACTGTGAAACTCTAATTACATGCGTTATCGCTAAACAGTTTCATGTCTCAACATTCTCTGGATAATTTAGTTTTTCCCTTTTGCACTGTTTGGCATAGAGTGCTCAAGTTTGTAGCATATGTGCAACTGCTTGAGGTTCTGCTTTTACATAAACTGCTGGTAAATTTTATACAAAAACTTTTATGCGATTTGAGTTATGCCATGTATGTAATAAAATGACTGTTAAATGTTTTGTACTTCTCTGAAGTTGGGAATGGTAAATAACTTGATTAATAGTAAGTTATATTCTCTCTATCACTAGCTAGGTCAAATGCTTGTTTGTTAGAGAAGGAGGTAGTAACAACTATATAATACGAAGTGTATTTGTATCTTCCTGTTTGATGTCATGTACTATTATAAATAATCCCCCCCTCCAAAATTAATCTTCATTCCATCTTTGTATGCCCATCCCAAATTAATCTTCATGCCATATTTTTATGCCCATCCCAAATTAATCTTCCTCTTTCCTTTTAATGAAAGAATTGTGTGGCTGATTTTTTTCTTATTAAATAAGTGTGCCAAGTCAAAACAATAAGATTAGTTTAGGGCGGAGCTACTATGTCTGTAACTCTGTAAGAAATTGTTTCAAAGCTTTGTGTGCTAGTGGATGAGTAGTGTATATAACACAACCACATCTGGATCCAACAAATTTGGATTTGTTTTGTGGTTGCAGGATTCTCTGTCTGGAATTAAACAGGAAACAGGGATATCTTTTGCTGCTCAGTCTGTTCCCAAGCAAGCTAGTCCTAGTTTTCCTACATCTAATGCTGCCACGCAAATGATGAAGATGCATCCTGCACCATCTTTTCATATGCCTCCCGGAGTCCCTAAATCTCCTGCAACACCTGGTCCTCCTGGAATAGGATTAGCTATACCTTTTCCGTCGGGAGATTCTTCTCCATCTCTGAGGCCCTTTGTGCCGCATCCTCCTTTTCTCTGTAATCCACCCATTCATCAGCAAGCATATACTCCATATAACTCTGTTTCTGCTATGCAAATCCCTCATCAGGGACCATGGTTGAATGCACCTGTTGGTGGATTGTTAAGATCACCATTGTCACAATATCCCGTTACCATAACTGGCCCCTTTCCTACGATAGCTGGGACTACCTTGCATTCTCCTGCTACATTTCCCGAAACTCAACCCCCTGGTGTTTCAACAATGGCAGCTCCACATGGACCTTCTCCATCTACAACTTCAGCTGCCCAGTCAATACCGGGTTCAGGGATGCAGGCGGAATTACCTCCTGGAGTTGGTCTGCACAAAATTCATGTTGATAAATTACTTTCAATTTATTATGTTATGTAGTTGCATTGTTCTTCATCTCAGAATGTAGATAATTCTTTGCTAATAGCAGATGGCAATAAACCTGAATATGGTGTTGGGACAAGAGATGTAGCTGCAAACACTAAGGCAGTTGATGCTTGGACAGCTCATCGGACAGATACAGGAGCTGTATACTATTACCATGCATTATCAGGAGTGTCTACTTATGAGAAACCTGCCGGGTTTAAAGTAGAGGTATTAGCTCACTTTTTGTCAAATTTTATTTTGTTTTTTCATCTAGTGTTATGTTACCTCACTTCCATACACGTCTTCTTTAAAATTTTATCCATTGATTATTTCCATGATTACTTTCTTGGGTGAAAGACAACTTTTATAATCTAGCAGCTTTGTTGCACTGCTTTAGAAAGCACTTTAGGTTGGATCTTGCTCAACTGCTTAATTTAGATTCTATTAGTTGGTCTCAAACTTGGTAGAGGGCATCCAACCGGTCTGTATAACTACTTGATCTAGTCTAAGCTGTAGGCCTATACTCTAGAACTCACGTGTTAATATGAATGTTCACTGCTTCACAAGGTTCAGTGTTTTCTATATGAGAAATTATATAATGGAGACATTATTCTTTGAAGTGATAGCAACCCATTACAATTCGATAATGCATTAGTATAGCAGCTATTACAAACATTGGAGAACAAGGGTTTCAGACTAAGTCAGAGCAAGACAGAATACATGGAGTGCACGTTTGGTGGAGGTAGAAGCAGTGGTAACAACGGAATTACTCTAGATGGTAAAGAGATACCGGTCAGCGATATGTTCCGTTACTTGGGCTCCATAATTCAGAAGGACAATGAGTTAGATGGAGATGTATCCCATATAATCGGAACAAGGTGAATGAAGTAGAAGAGTGCGTCAGGATTTCTATGCGATCGAGGTATGCCAACTAGACTGAAGGGTAAATTTTATAGGACAACAATTAGGCCTGCATTATTGTATGGCGTAGAGTGTTGGGCGGTGAAACAATGTCACATTCAAAAGATGAGTGTGGCAGAGATGCGCATGCTCCGTTGGATGTGTGGCATACTAGGAAGGACCGCGTGAGGAATGAGACAATCAGACAAAGGGTGGGAGTAGCACCTATTGAAGACAAGATGTGGGAGTCGCGCCTACGGTGGTTTGGTCATGTGCATAGAAGACCGAGTGATGCACCTATCACACGAGTTGAGATGTGTGGAGAAGAGGCAGGGAAGAGAGAGAGGAAGACCCAAACAGACATGGGTTAAGGGAGTCTGAAGTGATATGCTTCTTCTTGGGTTGGATGAGGGTATGGCTTTCGAGGGAGCAAAGTGGAGGGCGGGTATTTGTTTTTTTATCCTTTTATCCTTATATATATAAACATTATTTGTATCCTTTTTATTTTATCATTTTTATGTATATTCATCTCTTTGTATTATCTTTTTTATAATAGCTTATCTTTTTTATCTTTATTCTTTCTTTTCCTTTTGTTGGTGATATCATGTATCGATTCATGTTAGCCGACCCTGATATCTTTTGGGACTAAGGCTTGGTTGTTGTTGTTGTTGTAGTATTAGTATAACAGCTTCACATTCTAAGAGATCAATGGATCACTTTTAACCCATGTTGCACGGAAACATGGGGGAACAGAGGAACACGGGGAAATGTGAAAGGAGAAACACCCAATAGAAAAAACAAGTCTTTGGAGAATTTCTGTAGAGTTTTAGAAACTCAAACACACTCTTTTCCAAGAGTTTCCGTGCTTCATAGCTTTTAACAAGTCTTCCGGTAAGACGGTAAATAAGCTAAACCAACATATATAAAAAGACATATAGAAGTACTGATGCATCACGTCGTCCATTCCGCTTGCCATCTCGCACTTTCTGTCCACCACCTCACCTTGCCACCTAACATTGGAGTATTATTACAGAATTATAAGTTGCTCCTACCAAATTCATCACTGCGTCAATTACTCAATTGTATGATTTCTTGAGCATTAACCCACATGTTTTTACAATGTTGGCCCATGATCTTACGTTCATCAATGCATGCATGCTATAAATCTCAATATGTTCTTACTGCCACACTTCATCCCTTAATAATTGTACTTTTCTCATATGCAGTCTGACCAAGTAAAAGCGCAACCAACTCCAGTTTCATGGTAACTACTCTGTCTTTTATTAACATATGTTCAGTTGTTTTTCTACACTTCTATCAATTGTTAGCTATTGCCTGTTGAATATATTGTCTTGGTTAAAACAATACTATTAAGAAGAAAATAGACGTGAGAGTCTAGGCTTTCTGTCCGCTATGATATAGGAGGGCATACGAAGTAGTTTAGGTAATGTTGAATTATGGAGTACACAACTGGCCTGCATGACTAGGGCTATATATATTAGAGTTTTCCACATCTCTACAATTGCATTTGAGTAGCTGGAGCCTGGAAACAAACCATATGAATACTGAGCTTAGTCTAACTTTCTTATTCCTAGAGACACATTAGTTTTTTACACTGTTGTTTTATCATTAAATGTTTTTCGGTGCATCTAACATGTTTCACAGTGGCCATGCTCTCACTATCCTAATAGCCTTAAGCTTCCTTTAGTTTCTTCTATTGCTCCCATACTTGCAACTGTAGAATTAAATGTTTTTTATTGAACTCTCTTGGTATCATATTATTTGTTAATTGTTTTATAGAGCAAGTCATTGGCATTTTTAGAGTTTATCCATGTCATATATGTTGCATGAAGGAAAGAATTCTACACATACTAGAGTCACAATTTAGATTCTTCAAAAATCAATGTTACGTCATCTTGCTGCTGTGAACCATTGCTTTTCAAGGTAGTCTTAAGGATGATGTTTAGCTCTCCTTTACCTGCATTTTTTAATTTCATTTTTAATTTGAATAATAGTATTTTAAAATTACAAAGTTGACGTCACCATAATTAAAGATGGTATACTAACAGCACAAGTGCATAACCTAAAAAAGCACTTGTGTCGGTACTGTGTGTAACATGAAGAGGATGTTCAGATTTGGTTTTCTATGACATGCTAGAAAGTAGAAACCAAAAGGTCATTTTCTAAAGCAATCATCTTCCCATAGTGTGGTGTTCATTATCCCATATGGATCGACTATTAGGTTTGAGTCCAGTGTATAAGTGTTATACATGTACGCTAAATCTCACATCTTGAAGATCCTTTTAAGGTGAATTAGACTCAACCAAACATGGTATATGACCCAAATCCGATTTTGGTTTGTGGTGAGTTGGCCCACTTGATGGCTTGGGGCAATCAATTTAGGGGCTTTTTGGGGCCTATTTGACCACCTCTTCAGCTGTCCAACTTTGTTTAGACTGGCAGGGTGTGTTGAGTATCTCACATCAGTTTGAGACTTTGAGTCTATTATATAAGTTTTATAAATATGAACTCTTGAGGATTCTTTGAGGGAGGGATGGCCCAATTTAAGAGGGCCACTTGTGCTCTTGTCCACATGCTAAGCCCAATTTAACAGGACACTGTGGCTATTGTCCAAATGTTTTTTACGGGGCTCTTGTCCATATGTTATGCCATCCAATTCATTATATCTTCACTTGGATTACCCATAAAAATAGTAAAAGGTCATCGAAGTACTTGATTGAGTCAGTTGGCAGCATTAGACAAAACGGCCCTTGCTTTTAGGAGGTTCCTAGTCATGTTTATACTCTTTATTTTTTGTATCTTTTTTTTTACCTGGGACATACTTTTAGAAGCTATTTCCATGCTATATTTTCTTGTTCTCAATCAAATAATTCCATTTTTTACATTTATATGAGAGGCCCTAAAATTTTCTAAAATTTTTTGTGTGTAATTTCGACCAGGGAAAAGTTGTCTGGTACAGAGTGGGCCTTGGTCACTACTAATGACGCCAAAACATATTACTACAACACTAAAACTAAGGTATGTATGTATGGTTAACAAGTTTGAGCTTGTTTGATTTTAATGTGAGGCGTGATACATCATAACATCATGCTTGATGTATTTTGAGACAAAATCCACCAGCATGTAATGTCTTCATCTTATGTCACATACTCACATGCTAAATCCATTTCCTAAGACTGCACCCACATCTTTATGTGTTTCATTGGTTCTCAAGAAACTTAAAACAGTCGTTTTTCATTTTTTGCCACTCAACTTTTCGGGCTAATACCAACTTCATCAATAATCAGTGCCACACATCATATCTCCCCATGACAAATACAAGCTTCTTTGGAGGGATTGCATGTGCGATTGAGAAGACAAGAACAGCAAATATTGTTATAAGAGCTAGTCACCAGATTACAATAACAACATCTAAGCCTTAATCCCAAAAGATTTTGGGGTCGGCTAACATGAATCGATCCATGATATTGATGCCAAAAGAGAAGACAAACAAGAAGAAGAAAAAGAAAAGGAAAAAAAGTAAGATAAAACGGATAAGATAAAGATAAATAAATATAAAATAAAAATAGCATAAGAATATAAGAAAGATGAAAGATAAAAAGATGAAAGAGCATAGAAAAAGAGCTAGTCACCAGATTAATAGGAAGACAATCTTTTTCACCAATTGATAAAAAAGTTCTCCATCTTTAGCAATTAATTGCAATCACTATCTTTACATCCAATGAGTGACCAAGTCAAATCTAATAATTGATGTCAAATACTTACCCCCTCTGTCTCTAAATAAGTTCCTACTTTGACATTATGGGATTTTAGACAAGATACCTTTTGTATTGACTTTCCTAATATGTCCATTAAAGATATGATTGAGAAAGTGAGTTATTAATGTTGTACTATTCACATGGGTAAAGGAGTCTGTTACTTCACATATTACCAAAAAGGAAGAACAAACTTAATTTTGGGACATCCCGAAAAGGAAATCGGGAACTTAATTTTGGGACAAAGAGAATATCTTATCTTTCTTTTCTTTTTGGTTCCGATATCATGTATCGATTCATGTTAGCCGACCCCAAAATCTTTTGGGACTAAGGCTTGGATGTTGTTGTTGTTGTTGGACGTGTAATATGGATATAACTTTTGCTCTGTAAATTGAAATATCTTCAAGTGGTTGTATAATCCTTCGCTAATGCTTGACTATCTTATTCCACTCTGGCTCTCTCTTGTGTTTCTTAATTAGTCAAGTAGTTGGCAAATTCCCAGCGAGTTGGCAGAGCCAAAACAGATGCAAGATTCTGATGCCTTGAAAGCGCAAGCAGTGTCCATGGCAAACACTAACTTGCAACCAGAAAAAGAATATACTCCATTGCTTACCCCTGCAATTAATACTGGCAGTCGTGATGCAACAGCTTTGAGGCCATCAGGTGTGCAAGTAACATCTTCAGCATTGGATCTCATAAAAAAGAAGTTGCAGGATTCTGGATCACCTGCCACCCTTCCAACAGCTCCTGCTTTGACAGGAGCATCAAATCTAGATGGAACTAAAGCAGTTGATTCTTCTGCCAGAGGCCTGCAAAAAGAAAATAGCAAAGACAAGTCAAAAGATACTAATGATGATGGCAATATTTCAGAAACCACTTCTGAATCTGAAGCTGAAGATAGTCGGCCCACCAAGGAGGAGTGCACCACTCAATTCAAGGTATACTCTTTCTTGGAAGATTATTATGGTTTACATTTTATTTTATTCCTCATTTATAGGCTCACTTTATGACTTTCCTTCTGTTATTAATTTAAGGATGCAGTTTCATGTCTAATTGCATGCACTTTCCATCATCTCAATTGATGCTTTGCTTTGGGTATGATTAGTAAGTTAGGTTTTTCCTCTAAGATCTTTATTCTCTGTTGACATTTTCATGAGTAACTAGTTTTGGTTAATCTTTGTTCCGTACATTGATGTGAGTCTTTTAATTAAGAACTCCACCATTATTGAAGTTCTTTTGTATATCCTTCCTCAGTCCTTTTCTTTCAAACATTAGTACAAGTTAGAGCCTTGCTGGGTAGTTATTTTGAGGTTGCTAGGATCCAAGGAACAACAGAAGATCAGAGACAGTCTAAGTAGTTAAATCGCTACTCGGTGGCAACTCGTTCAAGGGCGGAGTAACGATAACACTGATTACTCGGCCATGTATTAATTAAAGCTAAAAACATAAATGCCCCAAATTTTTATTAATATATGATTAAAGTAATAATAATCATACAGATGAAGTAGCAATAAATTGTAACAATCATAAACATTCTAACTTCCAAGAAAATCAATCACCTAATAATACTTAATTTTGAACTTTTGTCCTATAGACCTAAACTAATTTTCATTGTGTTTAAGATTGTCATTTTCTTCTTTATCCTCCATGTCCCCAAACCTAGACTGACTTTGTAATCTTTTTTTTTTATCTCAAAAATTTTAATTACCTACTAATTATTCATTAGTTGCATAATATCCCGATCTAGTTTCAAGGCTTTAGATTTAACCCCAAATAAATCATTTTTACTAACTGCCGATTAACTCGGCGAGTCAACCTTGTCAACGAGTAGTAAAAATTGCCGGTACTCAGCTAGTTACTCGAAAAATGGAACATTGCGATTCGGAATACTACTCAAAAAGGCCCTACCCTGAGTAGCGGGTGCACGGTGATTAGATAACACAGGTGACAATATTGTAATTACAAAAAACTAGTCAAGGATACTTCCTAGCATGTTTCAGATGCAGCGCTTTAAATAGTAAAGGTGCTGTAAGGAATATGAAACAACATGGTTGCTTTTATTTTCTGGAATTATCAATTCATGATGAATTTATCTTATGGTGGTTTACATCCTAAAGGACATTTCCATGCATCCAATCTTAATCTCTTCTCAGCTTATTTTTTGGAGAGGAGTTTCATAATTGACATTATGTTTCAGAAAATTGTTCAGAACTTTCAACACATCATCCATCATACACGCTTCTACTTAAGTCTTCAACAAACTGCTTGACCCTAAACAATTTTATGTCATTTGAATGCTAGAAACCAAAAGGTATGACAGTTGACACTTTCAGTTTTTGAACACTTTCCCTCATTATGCTTCAAAAAATAGTTTCTGCTGGTGTTAGGTCTACAGTCCATGTTTATAATCTACTACTCTGTATATACATGTAGATATTTAACGTGATCACTTCTTTTGTCACGTTCAGGAGATGCTCAAGGAACGTGGAGTAGCGCCTTTTTCAAAGTGGGAGAAAGAGCTCCCAAAGATAGTTTTTGATCCACGGTTTAAGGTTTTTGAAAAATTGAATTGCACCTTTTAAGCTTAACTCTTCCTCATATATAATGTTCTTCTAAGTGTTTGGGCTTTTAGTTGTAGAGAAAAGGGGCAAATAAGCCCTCGAACAATTAACGTTTCTACAATCAGACCCCTGAACCAGAAGACTTGCAAATACACCCCATAACTCATTGAAAATTAAGCAATCATATCCTTTTTGCCTGCTGGTACCGGTAATTTCTCATGAGAAAGTTAACTCCTTACCTGCATCAGCAGGTAAAAAGGATCCGATTGCTAAATTTTCAATGAGTTGAGGGGTGTATTTGCAAGTCTTCCGGTTCAGGGGTCTAATTGTAGAATCATAAATAGTTTGAGGGCTTCTTTGCCCCTTTTCTCTTTAGTTGTACATGTAGCATCTGTGTTATTATATTATAGTACCTATATTTGTAAAACTATAATGTAAACCTATGGTACAAAGTCTTAAGATTCTTATCTCGGGTAGAATACACATTATTCAGTATGAACAAATGCATAGGTATCTGTAAATGAACTAGGACTTGTGTTATATTAAGATGACACACGCTTCATTATTTCAACAGCCAGCCATTCAGCATTGCTGCTAAATCCACTTAGTGGATTAGAGTTACAAATGCTAATGACATTATCTTATATTCTTAATAATTTTATGTACACCGTGTTTCTTGTTCTTTTAACTGGATAAGAATTGCTGCTTCACTATTCTAACTCTGGTGGTTTTTTTAGGCTATTCCAAGTTACAGTGAAAGAAAAGCTATTTTTGAGCACTATGTGAAGACACGTGCTGATGAAGAGCGGAAAGAGAAGAGAGCTGCTCAGAAGGCTGCTGTTGAGGGTTTCAAGCAATTATTGGAAGAAGCAAAGGAGGTTAACTACTTGCTAATACTGTTATTTTTCTTCTAGTAATTAGGGAAATTTATCACACAATACCTAGTAGTCTTCCAAATCTATCTTTGGTGGTTTGATTTTTTAAAGCATATGTAATTGCCTTTGTGATTTGCTTCGGATGTTCCTCCTGGATTCAGGATATCCATCATAACACTGATTACCACACGTTTAAAAAGAATTGGGGCAATGATCCACGGTTTGAGGCACTGGACAGGAAAGAAAGAGATGCTCTCTTCAATGAGAGGTATATACTACTTCCTCCGGTTCTTATTATAAGGCAGAATTTGGCTTTACACAGACCAATGGAATGTTTAGAAGCATCCAGAATAATCTTCACTTTTCTACATGCCCTTAAAACACTTTTATGGGTAATATGCTTCATAGTTTTCAAAGGGGACAATGGTGGAAGAAAAAAAATTTAAATCTCCATTTATTATAATCAATATAAAAGTGATATATTTAGGCCACACTAATATGCCATGAGTATAGGAGTGGTGGGAGTATTGTTTTTGACACCTGCCGAAGGATCACTGGCTTGGTTAAATGGTTGAACCTCAATAATTAAATGGTTGATACTTTAAGCTTATTATTTGTGTAAACTGTGCATGTTTTGGAACCTCAAATATTAAAGCCTGCATCATTTGGGTCATAAGATAAACACTGGTTTGTAATGGCTACAGTCTCTTTTTGAAATTCATATGCAAGAATGCGCAATGAGTGGAACTAACTCTATTCATTAGCAGGCTTTCATATAATAACAGCCTTTATGAAAAGAACAGCGTCAGGGATTCTGTTTTTACTGCTTTAGGGTGGCTCATTTATTGTACTTTGTTTGCTAAATCCTATAGAATGGCTGGCATGTGAACTTTGTAAATTGGACATTTATAAAAGAACTTTTAACTAAAGGTAAATAGATTTATTTTGTACCATAAAACAGAATCATATATTTTGTATGGAGTATATTTTCTTTATTATATTTGTGCTATAAATTCGCTGGATCAGTTATTTGTGTTTATGTGCCATTTTACTGATCAAACAAGTATATACATATACTGTAGGGTACTTTTTTTAAAAAGGATTGCTCAAGAAAAAGCTCAAGCAGCTCGTGCAACCATTGTATCTGACTTTAGGTCCATGCTTCAGGAGAAGGGAGACATAAGTTTGAATACTCGTTGGTCAAAGGTTGGTTTTGGACTTTGGTATGAAGCTTGTTGCTATTTGTTTGCAGTAGCAATAACATTTCAGTTTTCTATATGGAAGATATAATTGATGACATTTTGTGCGTACCTATAACCTATATTTGGACCAAGTGCCACTTCAGGCATAAAGTGGGCTCTAATGATTTCATTCTTTCATGTATATTTTCTTCACATGCTAGCTATCGCTTTTCTCTCTCTCACCCTTTATGAAATTCATGGAGGAAGTATCTTCTTAGATTTCAGTTTGGCCCTGGCAGTTTCTTCTAATACAGTCCTTAAGAATTATGTTTGATTTCAATTTAGCCACCTTTCTATCCAAAAATGAAGTGCTTTCTGATTAGAAGTCCCTATTGGAGATTGGACAGAGTAAAGTTAAGGATACTAACGCTGTTTTTGAAGGGATACTTTATGGTAAAATTAAGGATATGCTTGGTTGGAGGTTTCAGGAGAAGGGTTGATGGTGCTTTTCATTACCAACTTTTGGAGAATCAACCATACCCACACAAAAGGGTTGGGATTCAAAGAGTTCCTGTTCCTATAAATCTCTACCATCGCATCATTCCAATACCTTTAAATTTACCAAGCACCCCTATGAAGTTACAAAAAAAATAACGACAAGGCTTGTGCAGTTTAATACTCCGCAAGGCGTTTTCTATAGTAACATAAGGATTTTTTCGTTATTTAGGTCCATAAGTTATGTTTTTATTTTATGTTGATGTGTGTTGATTTTAAGGCATTTCATACGTGCAAATCATTCGTTACATTCCTCTTAAGTAAACTTTTATGCATGTTGGCATGTTCAATCTTTTATGTACTTCAGTTTTGGGGAGTTCGTTGACTCGGTTAGGTTTGAAAATTGTAAAACCAAAAACCAAACCAAATAACATAAGTTGTTTCCCCCCTGGTTTTCGGTTAGCTCATGATGTAAACAGAAAGTTAAAAATCAAAGGTAGAAACCGTTCCCCAGAGCCAATAGACTGAAATCCAATTTTATTAACCGATAAGCAAGACTGAACCCTAACAAGGGGTTTAAATACCCTTCTAATAAGAGACCCAAACAGAAACCCTAATCATTCCCAAATTAAGTAATCCCTAATTAGGCCCAAATTAACTCTACTAAATACTCTACTAGTAACAGGCCCAAACTAGAAAACATAACATAAAGTTTATAATAATTAAAACTAAAACCCTACCCAACAACCAGCTCACGAAGGTGGGCTCAAGCCCGTCCCTGCCTTCGGTAACCCAACAAGGGCCTCAGTCTCTCTTCCTCCAAGCCGAGCTCCTCTATATCAGCTCATTTCTGTCAATTTTTGTCCTTAGTTAGTTTTCATTTGGTTTCACCCAGTAAGTCTGTTGTAGTTGGGTTTTTTGCTGATTTTAAATCCTAAATCTTAAATTGCAAACTGAACAGCCTGTGATACGGTGTTGGATGTCATTGAAATATATTACTCCTAGTAAAGTTTATTTTGATTTTTGAGGGTTCTAAGATTATTATGATACATCATCATCATCATTACCCCAGTGCCGCAAAGGCTCCCACCTACGGTGGGGTAAGGAAGGGTTGGATGTACGCAGTCTTACCCCTGTACTAAAGCACAAAGACTGTTTCCGGATGACCCAGAGTGAAAATTGCATCCAAAATTGCATGGACTGAGTGCTGCTTCGTAACAAAGAAGCGCAAACAGTTTAGTGAGCCGTTTTGCTTTACTCCATCATATTCTCAAGCCAAAAAATAGTGAGTCTTTGGCTCCATTGCAAATGATGGAAAATATTATGATACATGTGAAAAAGAATTGGTATGCATACACTACTCTTGTAATCATTATTTTTGGGCATGCTTTGTCTATTGGGTTAGGATCAATTATTATGTTTCTTTATTGTTCATAGTTGGATTAGTATTTCACTATTCCTAAACAGTTCTTTCAATTAAATAAAGGACAGTTGTTTAATCTAATATTTATTCTTATGTATTGTTTTAGTCTAGTATTTAGTTGTGTTATTTAATAAGGACTCTTTATACTCTCATTATATTATGAGGTATCATTTGCAATTCATAAAATCAACTAGTTCCAATCAAGTTGAGCTTATGTGAAAGAAAGATGAGTCTCTTTTTCAACGACGAGTCTGCCATATCCCAACCACTTGAGATATTGGTGACTTCACTATATACAGCCATTGTATCTACCTATAACACTTTTCACTCGAATCGTGACTTTTGTTTTTCAATATTAGGTCAGAGACGGTATAAGAAATGACCCGCGATACAAGGCTGTCAAGCACGAGGACAGGGAGCCTTTATTTAATGAGTATCTTTCTGAGCTAAAGACGGCTGAAGAAGAGAGATCACGAGTGGCAAAGTCAAAGAATGATGAGGAGGTGAGAAATGAGATAAAGTGATCCCTGGCCATTTTTAGGCTATGTTTGGAATGCAGATAATTGTATACAAAGTAAAAAATTGCAAAGGGAAGTTGTTTTAATTTATTTTTATTTGCTGTTGTTGGTTGTATCTTGGAAACTACAATGAAAAATTAAATTAGATTAAAACTTTTTTAGTTTTTACATATACTACGATTTCTTATTCTTTACACATTATTCCGTCCTATTGGACATTGCTAACTTTGTGTTGGGTGTGAAATAATAAAAATAAAACTGTGTGGTTGAGGTTTGGGTAGAAGAGAGAGAAGTTGAACCATAAATTAATTACATCAAAAGGAAAGTGGCAATGTTTTTGGGACAAACAAAAAAAGAAAGTTGGCAAAGGGCATATATCTAAAAGTGATTTATTGAGTTTGATTTACTTGTATTTCCCCCAATCGTTTCAAATTTCCTTCTATTTTTCTACCTGTTTTCATTCTGTAGCATTTCCAGGTTCCAAAAGGACCTGCAAGTTCCATTTTTTTTTGTCTTTTTTGTTCTATCATCATTCATGTCTTGCGTATGATGTCATGCTAAGATGTCAAAGTTGGACTACTTGTGCATACTGTATTTTCATTTTTGGTCCTCATAGATCCGAGTAAATCTAAATTCATATATGTGAATATTTTGCTTGCTTGACTTAGTGTGAGCTACTTGGTTGGTCCTCTTAGGAAAAGTTAAAGGAAAGAGAGCGAGCATTGCGGAAACGAAAAGAAAGAGAGGAACAAGAAGTCGAGAGGGTACGGCTGAAAACTTGTAGAAAGGAAGCGGTTGAGTCTTATCAGGCTTTGCTGGTTGAAACTATTAAAGATCCTCAGGTAATTGTGGAAAATCGGGTTGAATGGTAATATCCTCAGGTAATTGTGGAAAATCGGGGTCGGATGTACGTAGTCTTACCCTGTTTAGCACAGTGAGACTGTTTCCGAATGACCCATGGTGAAAATTGCGTTGAAATTTTAATGAATGATTGCTGCTTCTTAACAAAGAAGCGCAGCCAATTTAGTGAGCCATTTTGCTTTATTCCATCATATTCCCATGTCAAAAAATAGTGAACCTTTGGCTCTATTGCAAATGATGGAAATATCTAAAATGTCAACGTGTGGACATAAATTTATAATAGAAGGATTTTTACTTGAATATGAGGGTTGAGTAAGCATTTAAGATATAGTTTGGTTAGATGTAATGAAATGATCAAATACACGTGTAAAGCAAATTTACACTAAAACTATACAGAGTATTTGGCTTATCAAGGGTATCTAAATCCTTTATGATGCTGTCCTTTTGAACTGCAACTTGACATGTTGTCTATCAACCGAACTAGAAAATGTTACTCCCTCCGTCCCATTCTAAGGTTCTCACTTTCCTTTTTTGGACGTCCAATATAAAGGTTCACATTTCTATTTTAGAAAACAATTAAAATTCTTTATTGATAATTTAATTATCAAATATTAACAATAATGCATCTATAACATCACAATTATTATCAATGATCCATTATATTATATATCCATCAAAACTAATTCTCAAAATAAACTCGAATTACCTTATATTATTATTGTCTAAATAATCGTGTCATTTTGTAATGGGAACCGTTAAGTGGGACGGAGGTATTATTTTTTTAGAAGCATAATCTCATGTATGTGCAAACTATATCTCTACATGTATGATTTTGCGTACCTCGTATTGTTCACACTCTTGTCCCCCCTATGCAAACCCAGGCATCTTGGTCTGAGTCAAAACCAAAATTAGAGAAGGATCCTCAAGGGCGTGCGGCCAATCCTCATTTGGACCAATCCGACTTGGAAAAACTTTTCCGGGAACATGCTCAGACCTTGTATGAGGTAATGCTTGAAATTGCTTACACGTACTTTTTTTGAATTGTTTTGATCTAGGTCACATAAGGTCACCTTTTATTCACAATTTATACTGCATTTCTGGTTTAGAGGCTTGGACACCATAATGTAGATTTTGATAGAATTCAGAATTGGGCCGAGGTCGATCAACTAAAACTTAGTGCACATGAGTCAAACCACACTAGAAGATTGTATCTAATAATTTAGCAACTCTAAAATCTAAACTAAGGCGTTATAAACCCATATGTTTTCTTTAATTTGTTCAAATTTGAACTAAATCAAACCCCAACAAGAGCCAGAGTATGAGTCTGAACCTTTAAACCTATGCCAACAAGGTTAGGATGTCCATTTTTTACTTGGTGTGTGATATATGGGTAAATTCCAGACGCGGAATACCCTTCAACACAGTTATTTTAATATTGTTGTACCACTTCTATGTGTTATATGATGTAGCGCTGTGCCCATGACTTCCGGGTCCTCTTGGTTTCTGTTATAACTGCTGAAGCTGCTTCTCAACACGGATCAGAAGACGGGAAAACAGTGCTTACCTCCTGGTCCTCAGCAAAGGTACTTCTCAAAGCTGATCCTAGGTATGCTAAGGTGCCCAGAAAAGACAGGGAATCCCTGTGGCGAAGACATGTTGATGATATCCAGAGGAGGCTAAAGTTAGGAAATGAACAAGATGCTGACAAGTCATCGAGGAATAGAAGTCCGGGCAATTCTCTAAAATTTTCAGGTGGATCTAGGAGAACTGAGAGAAGATAAGATAGTTTTTTGGCTGTCAAGATGAATTTGAGTTTGTAAACTAAGAGGTTGAAGAGTAGTGTACTATTCTTGAGTTTCTAGTTTAATTTATTAATTGTGGGTGACTGGTTGAGTAAGCATCCATGCGTAATATTTTCTCGGATGAATGCAAGCCCTTTTATTTATATTTCCGGGATGAATCATAAATGGTGACCCTTTTAGACTTTTAGTTGAACTTAGGGATGGACTCGGGTCCGGGCCGGGTCCGGGCCTAGGCCCGGACGGGCCGGCGGGTCAGAAATGGTGGACCCGGGACCGGCCCGGGTAACCACCGGGTCCGGGCCGGGCCGGGCCGGGCCCATTATATTCTTTTTTTTGTTTTCCTCTTCCTAATTAACCCTCTCCCACCCCCAACCCCCCAAACCACCCCAAATGGCCCAAAATACCCAGCCCAACTCGAAAACTTAAAAAAATTGAAAAAAAAGAAAGAAAAAAATAGTTTTTGACCCGAACCGGGCCCGGGCCCGGCCGGGTCGGGCCTTGTTTTGGGTGACCCGAGCCCGGACCGGAAAACCCACGGGCCGAGCCTACCCGGACCGGTCACTGACCGGGCCACCGGGTCGGGCCGGGCCGGAACCGTACCGGTCCCGGGCCGGTTCCGGGTCGGGCCACCCGGCCCGAATCCATCCCTAGTTGAACTCTTCTGTGCCTTCCCATTGTCACGACCATAATAATATACATAGAAGCAGTGGCGGAATCAGTTTCGTGATCTTGGAGGGGCACATTACCTCAGAAGGCTCGACTCTTTACTACCTTTAGAAATCTGTGTACAAAATCGATTCAGATGAATTCTTTGTCAAACTTGAGCCTGACTATCCACAACTAGGGATTGACTGGACTGGGCCGGGCCGAACCGGCCCGGAACCGGACCGGCCCGCTACTGTGCGGGCCTGGACCGGGCCGGGCTCGGTTGGCCGGTTCTGGGCTTTTAGCCCCTGTGGGCGGGAAGTACTGAAGTTTTAAAAAAATTGTTGAGGCGTGAAGGTGGTGAAGGTGGTGGCAGACTTGATGGATGGTGGCAGAGCCGCCATTGGTGGAGGAGCCGCCATTGGTGGAGGAGCTGATCTTGGAGGCCTGGAATCGCACAGGGCACACTGTTTGCGCAGCAGGGGAATCACATATGCGCAGCAAAGGCCCCTGCGAACTCTTCATTAAGGGCATTTTGGGTAGATTACCTCTTTTTAGTCCTATTTTTATCAAATAAAACATAGTAGTCATGTTTTTGCAATTCTATCTAATTTTAGTCCTATTTAGGTAAATCTCTCTTCTTTTTATTTCTCTTTGAGTGATACTTGCTTTTATTGTAGTTCGAGCAGATATGGTTTGGAATTTTTGTTTTTCGGAGAACTTTTAATTTGGCATGGTCTGTGCGGGACCCAGCCCGACCCGTTACTGTGCAGGACCAGCCCGGCCGATCGAGATCGGGATTGGAGGCATATATGGTGGACCGGCTCGGGCCCAAATTATTTTTGTTTTTGATTGTTTCGCATTGGGCTGCTGCTAGTAGGAGTGGACTCGGGTCGGGCCAACCGGCCCTGAACCGGACCGGCCCGCTACTGTGCGGGCCCGGACCGGCCCGATGAACCGATTGGTTGGCCGGTTCGGTCCACCTGGCCCCGTGGGATGGCGGTTCGGGCTTAGGCCCTTCAAAAGGTGAACCGGCCCGGCCGGTTCGGGCCCGGGTCGGGCCAATTTTTTTTTGAATTTTTTTTAAGTTTTTGGGTTGGGCCGGGTATTTTGGGCCATTTGAGGTGGTTAGGGTTGGTTTTGGGGTGAGGGGGAGGGTTGGGGGTTAACTAGGAAAAGCCAAAAAAAAAAAAATAGAACCGAGGCCCGGCCCGGCCCGGCCCGGACCCGGGGGTTACTCGGGCCGGTTCCGGGCCTCCCCTTCATGAACCGAGGCCTGGCCGGGCCCAGGCCCGAACCGGGCCCGAACCGGAACTGGTCCATCCCTAGCTGCTAGGTGGGGTGGGCTGGGTGTTTTTGTGAGGTTTGGGGGTAGTGAGTGGGGAGGGTAAGAATGAATGCGAAAAGGGTTATTTAAAAAAATATACCCGACCCGAGCCAGGCCCCACCCAGTCTTGGTCTAAACTCGGGCCGGTACCGAACCTAGAACGCAAAACCCCAGTCTCGCCCAATCCCGGCCTGGGGCCCGACCCAGTCCATCCCTACTTTTAATAGATAGTGCTTTGGTTTCAATCACTTCAGACTTAAATTTACCTGTTTTGTATCTAGTGAGTCATGTTGCTATGTATGAATTGACCGACTCTTCGTCTATCCTCAGAGTTTACAATAGGATTTCTAATAGTTGTCTAAAGCACCTGATTGTTTACTCTATATTAGTATACGTCATTTAACATTAAAAAAATCCCTATTTATTCCAATATATATATGAGGAAAGAATGACTAAAATAAGACCATAGGTTAAAAAAAAAATAAGACCATAGGTTTTGTTGAGGTTTAACCCCGTAGATCCGAAAGTCCAACACAGACTTTGGATATATCAGGAAATGGACAATAATTCGGTATGTAAAAGAAATATAAAAGATCGATAATCGAATGCTCAAAAGCCCACTTATATTAATTGATCTGTTTGATTACAAGGAAATTACCCGAATGGTACGTCGGATTGATGCTTAATACAAGAAACAAGAGTAATAAGGCTATTCTAGGGCTTGAGTATTAAAATGCTAACCCTTACAATGATATTTAAACCTTCTATTTATACCAATGGAGAGTATGAGACACTTTATGCTGATTGGCCGATGTTCCACCGACCTGATCACTCGTGCCTCCACTTGCTGATGTCGCCATCTGGCATTAATTGCACCTAGCCACCTGCTGGTTGTCCGTTGCCCGAACGGGATAATGGGCCCTGTAAAACATTGTTAATTTGGCCCAAGTACGATGTATGACCTGAACCCTGTTCGGTATGTCTGTTCTCTGGGCCAGCCTTTGCTTGGCCCGAACCTCGTTCGGTATGAATATCTCACTGGGCCTACTTATCATAGGGTAGTGGACTCGTTGTTTGGGCTGGATATCCTGGGCCTTTAATCCGAGTATTGGGCCTACGGGCCAATATCCCAACACAAGTCCCCCACTTCCGATGTCTCGAATGACAGTGAGTGCATTAGGAAGTATAAGTGCCATGATACAAATGCCGAATGGCGATCGGGGTACAAAAGTGGTCAGTTCCCCATACTGTGATTTGACGGCTGTCGTTCGAGTTTTCCCATATTCATCATGATTGTTGATCTTTGCTCTTCCATGTGACACGTGTTATTTCAAATAGTTCCAGTGACGTGTCTCTATTTGATTGGTCTTTGATATGGCGTTTGTAAGGCTATAAATTAGCCTTTAGCTCCTCAAATCTGGGTTTCGAATTTTCAATCTCTTCGTGCTTTAACTCTGCCTTTTCTCTCAATCCCTTCAAGCTTTTCGTGTCCAGGTACTTCTCATCCCTTCAAATCTCTCTTTTCTTTGATCCGATCGTTATGAGTTCTCGACTGTGTTCCGATTCGGAAATGGCTTCCCAAGGGGAAGACCATGATGTGGAAATTATCACCGTCCCTTTTATTGAGGGCTCCAATGCGGCGACGACGGAGATTAGGGCGGAGATGGAGGATTCCTCCGACAGTTCTTCTTCCTCCAGTGAAGATTCCGATGACACCAAGTCTGATGATGAACTGGCTTCCATGGTGGCCGGACGTCCCAACGATTTCCCTCGTCACACGCTTGACCTAAGACTGATTAGGGAGAGGCGGCAAAAACTGACTTCTCACAACAGGGCCGAAATTCCGGCCCTAATCCCACACCCAGTGGACTTCCGATTGCGAGCTGGGCTTCACCCAATGCGCCATACCCCTGGGATGGTTGTAGTCCACTTCGATTCAGTTAGGGCCGGGCTTAGATTTCCATTACATTCCTTTTTCGTTTCATTTTTTAATTTCTACGAAATTGTACCAGTCCAAGTCATGCCGAACTCCTATCGAGCAATGGCGGGCTTTATTTTCCGTTGTAAAGATGCCGGTGCCCTGCCGACCCTAGACTTATTTCACCAATTTTTTAAAGTGGCCCCCGAACAAACACATGGATATCTGGCTACTAGTGCCCGAACGGGACATATACTGTTTAAGGGCAATCCGACTTCAATCAAAGGGTGGAAAGATCAGTTCTTCTTTGTGTCTTTCCCGGACGGCCTGATCCCCCGCAAATGGAATGCCTTCCCTCGCAAATCTCCCGATCTAGTCCTTACTGAGGAAATTTACAAGGATGTGCTCGCTGTGGAGAAGGACAAATTTTGTGATATCATGAGTTACTTGACTCCCGATCGGCTTATCGAAGCCGAGATAGGTACTGCCCGTTCTCTTGGGTTTACTTGTTTTGAGAATCAAGTGCCATGGTCCGGGCGGTCCTTCCCGTGCGAGAAACGTTCTCTTCTTTTTTGTTTCCCATGTGATAAGGCCGCTCGGTACTAACATTTTCCTTGTTATTTTTAGCTCCCAATCCAGACGCACCTATGGACAATAGCCGAGTTCTTGCAGCCGGTGGGGTCGGGAAACGGAAGAAGGCAAGGAAGAATCCTCAACCCAATCCTTCCACCACCATTGCTCAGGATGCCGGGTCTTCTCAACCCGTTCAGGAGCCACATCCGCTTCAACAGGTCCCTCATACGGACCAATTTGATGCCATGCTAATCGATGATCAGTTCGGATCTGATCAGCTGCATCAATTCCCTGAGCATTTCCAGGCTGCTCAGGAGACTAACATGACTGCAGGTGAGACCAACACTGTCCACCTTTCTACGCAGGTCGAACGGATCTCTCTGGCAGATCCAGTTCATGAAATGTTGGAGAAGGCTGGTTCTCCTGCAAGCCAGATTTGGTCCACTTCTTCGTGGTTCAACAACTTTGTCGTCCCTAAGATGTCGGTCGAGCAATCCGAAGAATGCTTGGCTTTGGCAGCTCTGAAGGTATCTCACTTTTTCCTTATAGTTTTCTCATAGTTTAACTTCTGTTCTTCACCATCTCATTTCTCAAACGACATTCTGCAGGTTGGGCTCTATAGCCTGCAACTGAGGGAGGCTCGACTGGCTAAAGAGCGGGACCTGATCGTCGCTCAGACTTCTGCGGAGCAGAATGTGGCT